AATCATTAATAAAACATCGTATCGTTATTTCAAATAAATTTCCTAATACTAGTTTGAAATATGTTTTAAAGTAAAATAGTACATATGTTCCATAAATCAATAAGTTTTGATTATTAATCAAATTTACTATGTTATCTGTAAGAATTACTATTTATTTATAAAAACTTACTATTACTTGAATTAAACTTACTCTCTAAAAAATAAGTTTGGGATATAAAGTAGTAATTTATTTATTTAAAAAATAAGTTTAATATTTATTTTAATTTACCTTTTGAAGTATAAAAGTTACTAATTTATTACTGTTAACTTACTATTTTAGATGGAAAACTTACTTTTTTATTTTTAAATGTTATCCTATTTAGGTGGATAGGCCTATTAAGTAATCAAATGGTTGCTAAAAGTGCAACCACCTATTATATCAGGTAAAAAATTGTTTCATTACCATAATTGTCGTTACTAAAGCATTGTCCTTTAATATATATATCCCTTAAAGATAAAAGTAAGAATAACTATAATATTTAAATACAAAAGGAATCTTCCAAGTACAATTTCAGGTCTCGGCTTAACTCCTAACTACTTCCCACTCCCGTTTTTCGCTCCTGTAAGGAAAACAAACTAATGGGTTGAACAAAACCCAGTGAGGTTTCCCAAGTAAACAATAATCAATAAACACTTAACATGTAATCAAAATTAAGTAAGAAAAGAACACTTCACTGAAAAAGTAAAGAATACTTCACTGAACAATCACTTTCAAAAAAATAAGGTACTCGCATTAGAGTCACTTCAATACACTACACACTCTGTCGAACTCTTCCTTATAACTTCCAAAACAGTAAACACTTCCCTCACTTAGATGGCCATATTAGTAATTTGCTATTCCATGATAATACTCGAACATACTAATACACTTATTCAAAACTACCATCCTATCCGACCAAACTCTTTGCTAGCTTGAATAGTCCGTTGAACAGTGGGTTTTGGGGTCCAGTTCAGCCAGTACGATGAAATACACGGCTTACAGTCATGCACACTTACAATTATACTTGATCAATTATCAACCTTCAATCTCAAACTAAGTCGAGTACAATAAAGTATATTTCCGACTTAAAAAACGAGGGACAATTGAAAGCACTTCACAACAAAGTACTGACATAATCATATAAACATTGTTTAAGTAATACATAGCCAATTCAAACACACAAATGTGGAAACATTCACCCAAATTATTTTGAATTCACTCCTCAGTGTTTGGCCCTTCCTCTGATTCTCCCTTGACTCCTGAGATATTTATAAACTTATTAGTCTACTTATTATTTTTTCCCAATGGTGAAGCTAAGGTTCACATGATTATTTTAGCTAAAGTGTATATATGTGTGTATATATATAATCCAAGATGTTTAAATGTGTGTGTGTGTGTGTATATATAGAGTTTTAAGGTGATTTTAGTACTTATCTTATTCTAGTACATCAAAGGTTTGAAGTCAAGGCAACTTTAATCTTTTAAACCCTAAAATTCCATGTTTTATCAAAGTAAAGTAAGGTAAGGTGGTTATATGGCAATAAAAGTTGTGATTTATGTTCTAAGGATCATTTTAAAATCAAGATTCAAAGTTAGTTTTCTAGAATTTGGTAGTTTAGAGATCTTATAAATTTGCTTGATTTTATCCTAGATTTTGATTGAATTTTATAAGTAACACTTTTATAAGGTAACTTAAAGAGGTTTTGATCAGTTTTGGTTCATTTCCATCTTAGAAATTCAAAGTTAAAACCTAAAATCTAAGTGCTAAGTTAGGATTGTTCAAAACAGATTTTTAGCAGACCATGCTTCATGTTTTCGATCCAAAATTCACAATTTCTTTGTTCAAATCTCCTTAAATCCAATCTGTATTTTACCGTTATACTTGATAGGTTGTTCTTAGTTCAAAGTTTGATTAAAATCTCCTAAAAACTCCAGAAAAAAGCTTGAACTCCTCAACTATCCCAATCCGTCCAAAACAGTCTTGTAAGCTCAACTAGCTCTAGATTTCTTCTCCAAAGACTCAATATTTCTTCTCAAATCAAAGTAGTCATAATACACAGAGCAAAACAGAGTACCATAGGATAATTTTAACCAATATTTGCATAAACTTCAGTTCACAAGATGGAAGTTAAGCTTGAGAGAAACACAACCAGTCATTCGGTTTCAAAACTGAAATTCTAGCCATGTATCTTCCAAGATTTTCATTCGATCTACCAAATAATCAACCAAATCCAACATGCACTCATTTAAACATTGGAATAAGACCATGTAGCTTCGAAATCCAGCAAACTTTTTGAAGAAAAGAACCAAAAATTGCAGCTTTGTCCTCTCGGGTTCATGCAACACAGAAAATTCCAGCTTTGATGTTTCTTCCAAAAGTTGATCTTTCCTTGTCTAATCCAAGTAATTTTACCACATGCATGCTAAGGTTTAAGTATGCATGCTAAGGTTGTGGAGATAAAACTGGAAAATTCCCAGCTCCTCCCCCTCGGGTCTCAACAGAAACTTCCAGCAAGATTCCTTAAGTTTTTCATCCAAAATCTCCAACTTTTCACTAGAATCGAATGTATGACACACTATATATCATATAAAACAAAAGATAGAACATATAACAGGAATTTCCTAGCTAAACTCTTCAAAATTTCGGATGAAAAGTTGGGAAACCAAATTCCCTCTTCCTTTCTGCTAAAGCTGGGAATTCCAGCAAGAACCAGTCTTCAAACCAGGTTTTTCCCTAGCAAAGCTCCTTTTTTTTTTTCCCTCAAAGTCTTCATGCAACAAGTATTTAAGTCTACTGAGAGGATGGAGGGTGTAACTAGCGGATTTTAGCTCTTTTCCCTTGCAAACAAAGGCTGGAAATATTCTCACAGCTTCACCTTCTTCCCTCTCGATTCTTACAGTTGAATTGCTCCAGATTTTCCTATTTTTAGTGAAGCTGGTTTGGATACAGGAACCTTGAACTCCCTCCCTCATGCTCAACCCTCTCTTACTTTGCAATACAAACCAGGAAATGATGCTAACTTTCCCTCTCACTCTAGGGTATGTTGCAAGAGAGAGACAATCAAAAGAACAGGTACAAGCTTTACTTGTTAGTTGGACAAATGTCCAAGCTTTTGCCATGTGTCAATTGTATGTACAAACAAAGATTCAAGCCTTGCACTTTCATTTTATCTTACTATTACTCCCATTAATTTCTTATTCTATCTAGTACTAGTATTCGGGAAAAGGAGAAAAGCACTTAAACATAAAAATCAACCATCAATAATCACATAACTTAATCGAGAACAGGGTAAATGTAACATGCGCTAAATTTTAAATAAAATATGAAAATTTTCAGACTCTCACTGTTACCAAACGAAGGGAAAATCCAATATTCAAACCAATAGATGGGTAGATTTTGATGAGAGAATCGTGTAAATAAAATTTCGTTTCAATCGGGTTTCAAATCACATTCCAATCAAAATCTTAAAGTTGTTTTTCTCTCTAGTTTCTCTCCCTAATTTTCTCTCTCTTCATTTCTCGCCAAAAGCGACTAAACCTTATTTTTCTCGTTTTTCAGGAAAAATCTATCGCCAATGGTACTAGTCAAGTTGACTAATACATGACATAATCCCAAGTCATAAATTCACTAGGAAATCTAAAGTGCTTGAGTTGTGGTTTGGCTAACTAAATGGGCTGGATCAGAAGCCCAATATTAATGAACATAATCAATTACTCATAAAAATCCAAATATATATATATATATATATATAATGCCAAAAATTGTTAAAACCCAAAACAAATACATAAAGGAAAACAAGCTAATGAGATTTAAAACCCAGTCTTTGTAATTCCTATCAGTTAGTATTAAAAGGGCAAAAGCACTCAAGGTGTCAATGAGGGAACATGATTCACTGTTACTAATTACTATTCATCATTTTATTCCGTGAGGATATAGATATGGACGAATAACAGATAGATCGCACTAGAAACACTTCCAAATAAGTAGAGGTGGCAAAATGGGCGGGATGGGCGGGATTTGCTTGGGTTTGAGATGGAACCGAGTCATATGGGTTTGGGTCCAACCTTACCCATATGTGTTTTGGGACTAACTTGGGCGGGATCATTTTGGGATGGGTTTAGATTCATCCCGCCCAATACCCAAATTCATTTTCTACATATTTTTTTCCTTTAATTCATTTTTTATTTTTTATATAATTTTAATATTTTTGATTTATTAAATTTCTTTTAGTTTTATTAAATAAACATGCAAGTGCTTTATACTCAAGATTCCCACCAAAAATTGGATTAACAAATAAAGGAAAAGATAGATATACAGCCATATTCCAACATATATCAAGATGGCCAAGGTCCTTAGGATGTTGAATATTTATCCTCATCATTGTCCAAGGATGACAGGTCTAAACTAACTGAAATGCTGGAAATTCTTGTGGATAATGACTAAGAAGACTACTAGATTATATTCGCTGGTATGACTATAAAAATTGTTAAAGATAATTTTTGAATCTAAGACTCCGTTTGGATTGACTATTTTTTCAAAAAATAAGTTTTTCAAATACAATGTTACAGTAATATACAATAACTCAAGAAACATCCCATCCATATTAGTATATCAAATATTTCAAAAAAATTTTATAGTAAAAATTTTTCATATACACGGCTACAATAAAATATTTCAAAAACACCTACCAAAAACAGCTAATCCAAACGGAGCCCTTGCCATTTGAGCCCAATGGGTACCCAAGTATTTCCCATCCTTTCCCATTCATTAATGGGTATAGTTGGGATGTGTCCCAACTTAAACCCAATACCAAATTATAATACCCATCCCGCCCAAAGTTCCTTTGGGCATGGGTAGCCCATTGGGACTTGGGACAAATTGCCAGCTCTACAAATAAGTAACAGTGAACTGCACAATTGGACTGTAAATAATCCTTACACAATAACCTTCTCTCAAAATCCTCATATTGTTTTTGTTTAATCAGCTGAAACAAGACAAATGCTGAAGCAAACTTTCCAAGGAAATACAAGACGAGCCACCCTTGATTAAGCTAGTTCTTGCTTTCTCCTTCAATTCTCTCACTCTTTTTCTGATTTTGCCCTCTGGTTCCATTAGTTGTCTAATTCCTTTCTCAATTTCAGCTGCTTTCACCATAACTTGACTGCTATTTTTCATGTAATCCATTTTAATCTCCACCGCTATGCCTAAATCTTTCACTCCAAAAAATGCATTCATATGCTGCTCCGCATACATCGGCCATACGGCCATTGGCACCCCAAACCAAACACTTTCCAACACTGAATTCCATCCACAGTGTGTCACAAAGCCTCCTACTGCAGCGTGGGCTAAAACTTGTGCTTGTGGCGCCCATCCAATCACCTTTCCAGTATCTGCTATTCGTTGTAAGAACCCTTCTGGCAGGACTTCATTAAGATTTTCATACTCGCTTGGATACTCAAGACGGCCTTTAGGTGGTGGACGTCGCAAAGACCACAAGAACCGGCATCCACTAAGCTCGATTGCACAAGCAATCTCCTTAACTTGGTCACTGTCAAAAGATCCAAAACTACCAAAGCAAAAGAAAATTACAGAGGAAGTAGGCTGATCATCAAGCCATCTGATTATGGGTTCAATCTCTTCTTGGTTGCTACTAATACCAGCATCATTTATCAAAGGTCCTACCTGATAAATCGGCGGTATTTTTGGATTGGTGGTGAGGGCCTTTATTGCGTACAACTCTAGTTCAAGAAAAGTATTAACCATGATTCCTTTTGTCTCTGCAATCACTCTTTTGGCAATTTTCAGATTTATGCCTTCCTCGTCAAATATTGATTCAGGGATTAGTTTAGCAGGGACAGGATTGATATAAGTTGATACTGATAGCTCATGGTCAGAGTCTTTGTACTTGGATGTATCTTGGTTGTCATCCACGAGACCCTGGACAAGGATACTGAGGCCAAGAATTGCAGCTGCACAAGGGTAGAAAACATAGGCATGGATCTCAAACTCCTTAGCTATATCGATCATGCTTGTGCACATCAAATCCACGACAAGCCCTACAAGTTTGGAAGATCCAGAATGTTTTAGGTGAGCAACAAAATCTCTGACATGGGGCTTATTGCTATCGATCAAAGCAGATTGTATGGCAAGAGGGTCATCCGGTTGTGAGGACAACTGGGGATCTGGGAGTTGTATGAATTGTATGCCTCTAGTTGTTTGTGTATAAAGTGATTGGATGTACGAATTAAATTTGGCATCAAATGGCAATTTGAAAAGGAGCAAATTGATTGAGAACTCCTCACTGCAACTTACAAGCAGCTTTGCAAACTGTACCATTGACACCAAGTGACCTATTGCAGGCAAAGGAATGAAAATCAATTCTGCTTTCATGATTTGAAGCTCTGGACAGTAATACCAAAGTATGTTGAGAAAAGGAATATCATGTTTGTTACGCTATCAGGATGAAATACTTAAACTATGTGGAGGTGAGGTCATTGCTTTGCTGGCAGTCGCCTTCATTACATCCATGACCGGAAGAAGTCAAGTTTTGACACGGCAAGAAGGCAAGACAATTTCAAGAAGTAAATGTGCCATCTCAAACACAGAAAATGAACGAGATGGACTTTTGAAGCATCTGTAGAACATTTGTCTCGCTTAGAATTACAATTGGTTGTAGGATTGCTTTTAGTTAGCAGTTTCCACTTTCTTACTTAGCAGTTTCCACTTTCTAATGACATGTCCTGTGATTAATAGGGCTTTTCAGAAAAGGGTTAATATGTTGATCAGCCATCTCAAAAGTTGCTTCCCCCCCCCCCTCCCTCTCTCTCTTTCTCTCTCTCTCTCTCTCGTGAGAAAACACAATACATCTAATAAAAAATTTCTCAAAACTCAAAAGCTCATTTTAAATCAGATTTCATTTCAAATGTCTCGCAATCTAAAATAAAAGCACTAAATTCAACCAGTAGGCTTCCAGACAATATCTCAGTGGCCCCGGAAAAAGTAAGGTAATCTGACATTAGGGCACCCATCATATAGAGGTAATAAATAGCCTGAATAATTCAAGCCGGAGAGCAGGCATCAACAGTGAAAGGGAACAAACGTTGTCTACACTCGCCCATGTCTTTCTTGATCCCCAGAGTGGCATGACATTGAAAAAGTTACACCATGAGTAGAATAATACAAGCGGTGGACCAAGAAAAACATATAACAAAAAAAAAAACTTGAGGAATCATTATTTCTAATATGTATGATGTCAAATCGGATAGGATCCTAACATAGTATACACATGTAACAAAATAGGGAACCAGCCGTAGGGAACGGATTACCCAGAAAGGAAATTACAACATTACTTTTACCTATGGAAATTACAACATTACTTTTACCTAACAAATGACTAAAGATGACTCTGCTGATGTTGGAATAAAAAATGATTTCGCATTTGGTTATATTTCATCTCCCTTGAACCATGAATAGCATGGAACACTTCCAGCTGCTTGGTGCCCTCACAGTTCCCCAGGCAGACAGGTGAGTCATAAGTATACAGAAATCAAATAAATGAGCACTACTTTTGATGCTTCAAGCAGTGATTGACTGCAAGTTGCAAGTGAAGGTAAATCCACTTCCTAACCTTCAGGTGCATTGGAGTTAAAAAGGGCTCACACCTCTGTTCCCCAAGATTTTACAATGGTATACCAGTCAGGTCATACCCTATCCCCAGTTTCATTTCCTCAAAAAGAGGATAGGTGAAAATAAATATCTCTATTCATACACTCGCTTCCTCTTCAAAAGGGTTGGGATTATTGCCACCAATCCAATGAGGAAAAGAATAGATAAAGTTTTGAAATCATATAAATCTTTAACTGACTTTAGGTCCCCAAGTGCAAGGCCAGCCTGATGATAACAAAAGCAGAAGTTGTAAATCAAAATGTGTTCAAGGAGTGAACCAACAAATAACAGAAAGGTTTCATGGAGACATAACTGTCACCTAGTATTACTAGTGGAGCATATCAGTAATTCCACTTGTATTCAGTAATTTCGATACAAAGCATAACTAATAACATAAAACAACTGCAGAATTCAAAATAAAGCAGAATTACCTATGCTATGGGTCATTCACAGCAGAAAGAAAGAGAAAAAAACGAATTCTATATTCAGGGTCCTATAGAATAATCAGCATCACATAATTACTGACACAAAGCATAACCAATCACATAAAACAACTGCAGAATTCAAAATAAAGCAGAATTACCCATGCTATGGATCATTGACAGCAGAAAGAAAGAAAAGAAAACTAATTATATATTCAGTGTCCTAGAGAACAATCAGCATCACATGGATTTTCATATATGATCAAGTGTATTAAGATAAAATCAAAAAACATCAATCAGTAAGTGTAACTTAACAGAATCCACTTGCAAGGCAATGACAGGTTAAAGATTTCCAATGGCAAAAGTGCTTACATTACCAGGAACAACCACAAAACGTCAGCCCAACAAGACAATGAAGGCATTCCGGTAATAAAATCCCTTTCAAAAATGAACCAAGTTATCCCACTTCTACTTGGTCCAAAGACTCTTTCGAGCAATGGCCTACAGATGCTCTATCTTATTTATCTAAAATTTTGTTTTTTAGTAAGTTCCATCTTTTACAATGTTAAGAAATGGCATATACTGCTCTGTCACACTAATACACCTGTAAGGGTTATCTTAAGCATAATAGCGAAAGAGAGGGAGGACGCGGGGGCGGGGGGGACCACTACCATAGAAAACAGCACAAATTGAAGGCACAACCCATTAGAAATTAACTTACTCTGACAGTAATGTAAGAAGCGGGAATCAGCCCAAGCATAGTGGCCAGGAAAAAGATATGAAATGGTATATCAACAATGGGAGATGCCAGGTTGATAAAAAGGTTTGGCAGGGTTGGAGTTACTCTTAAAAACAGCATATAATTGAGCAGCTTGTCTCTGCGTTTTGCTATCTGAAAAGAGCAATGGAAATGACTGTCATGAATGAGGTGCATATATTACCAATAAAATATATACAAAACAGTAAGCCTTGGAATAGGTACCTCTGCCTGGAAAAATCTCAATTTCTCGGGCCAAAACCAACTAACAATAGGCCTTCCAACTAGCTTAGACAGAAAATAGCAGGATGATGCTCCAGCCGTAGCATTAAAGACAACCAAGAAAAGGCCCCTGATAACACCAAAAAGTGCTCCAGCAAGCAACGACATGAAGATAGTCCCAGGAATCATGAATGTCTGCATGAAGATGTATGTTGAGCAGTAACCAAGGATGAACCGTGCTGGGTAATCACTAGCATATGTTCCAAGATGATCTCTGAAATAGAATAGCAAACACAACTTCAAGCAAAATCAAACAAATTTTGGCTATACAAACAATCAGTCTGGAATTGATGGCAAAGTAATGATATCAATAAACTCAGGTCAAGACATATTAGAGAAAGTAGAAAACATATACAACTTGAAATAACCAGATTTGCATGACACTGCTGAAGAAAGGGCAAGCTAGGACACCAGATTACTCAAGCCCTATCTGCAAAATTTGCAACCAAAGGCGAAAGTTCTGAGCTTTGGATTGGTAAAAGAAAATTCTTCTTCTTCACCCAAAAAAAAAAAAAAATCATCTTTAACCATGTAGCTTCACGTGTGATGTAATCACAGCTTTGACACCTTCATCTGGAAAACAAACATCTAAGACCAGATATTGGTGTTAAAAACAACTGGTTGACATGATTAAAACTATCCCATTTTAAAAGTCTGTCATCTTACTCGCTAGTGTAAGCTGCAGAACTTTGTACCATTAGTGGCCCAAGAAAATGCAACCAACTAAACAGGCAACAAGCAACAAATACTCAAGCACCTCCAGAAAATTTAAAAGCTTTGATTGGCTGGGGAAAGGAAATTACTCTCAAAGTACCAGCATATACAATAGCAAATTTATCCTGGTGAAATTAACTGCATGCTACAGGGCCAATAAATAAATAAAAATGTTGTCTGTGGTACAAGACTTCATTTCTGCATGTCCAGCAGACCAACCTCCAGCATGAATTCCCTCAACAAAATGCAATAGAAAAACCAAGAAATAGTGCAAGGTTCCAAAACTTGGAAGTTTCATACACACAACATGCCTGTTTCAACTCTTTGAATAGGCTTTGCGCATTGGCAAGATAAATAACACAATTCCAGGAATTTTTTTGCCAATATTAAGGAACTATTTTCCATTTTGGAGAAAGTGTAGTAGCATAAATTGAAACACAAATGAGCTCCTCGAAGTTAATTGTAGAAGACTCAAACTAATTCATGGAAAAGCTATGAACACTATATACTTACACAAGCCCTCTATTATTATGTTCTGCAATTCCTTATTTCACTGTGTTGCGAACCAAAGGAGAGAACTATGAATTCCTGACAATGTCTATCATCCCTAAATGATCAAAAACAGCAAAGGATCTACTAACTGCATGAATTTCCCCTACCCCATCAATAAATTTTCGCAGATAATTTATATCAATATTCCCATAATGCTGGTAAACTCAAGTGGATCCACATATCCTTGACAATTTGTTGTTTCTTTCTCTATCAACCAATTCAGTTGCCTCAGCCATGAAATTGGTCTAACATTATCTAATAAGCTCATTGGAAAAAGCAAATTAAAGGTCAGCTATATTTGGGTCCAGGTGGACAGGACCTTGGATCAACCATAAGGCACATTTTATTCTCACTGCACGCATCAATTGAAGCCTTATCTTTAAAGCTCTCCTTCTCATATTGCATTTCTTTCATTAGGAAGTTCGAACTACAGACCACTGTAAGCATAAAAATGTTTGTTTCAACCATATGTCTTGAATTCTAAACCACTATTTAACTAGTTGCAATACCATATTTCCAATTCTCAAAGATAAGGAAAGAACCTACTTCTCAAATTCAAACATGACAAATAATTAAACCATAGTACTGGTACATTCCTATCCATTTCACATTTATTTATCTTCAATTGAAGATATGACGCCATATATTACACTGCTCCACATTCAGCCCAATCCCTACTTCAAGTCTAGCATAGCTCTCTCCAATTATATCCTTTTAATACATAAAAAGCAATACACCAGTACATAGTGCTTTTAAAAATGTACATTATGCTCTTAAAAATGTAGGATCTTGGAGGGTCAAACCAATAGTACACTTTGGGATCTTCGAACTTCTATGCAAGCTCAAAGAATTACCATTTGCATCTATCAAGTGTTCTACCATTCGAGTCACAATGAAACAATCTCACCCCTTCCCCCTATGTCTATGTGCACATTGTATCAAGCTATCCACATTCCACTGCTTAAACACCCCTATAAACCTGACCAATTAACTCCACACTTAAACCTCACAATACCACACACATTTTCAATTCCAATCACCATATCATACTACTACTTAACAACAGCCAGTTAAACAAAAACTTCAACATGCAAGGGTCCTACCACACCATAAAGAAATCGATAATTATAAACAAAATCCAACAAAAATGAATTGCATTTATAAAAGAAATTTAATAGAAAAGAAGCATCCTACTTGAGCATGCGAAGATCAGAGAGGGTCCGAGGCAACTTGAGCTTACTATAATCAGCAGCTGGCATTGTCAGGTAAATACAGCCCAATCCAACGGAAAATAACAGAAATACACCCAACCCTGCCATGACTTCCCATCGGGACAACGGAAAAATCACCCCTTCCCCTCCTTTACCCTTCTTCCCGGTGGGCGAATCCCCCGCAACCGCTGCATTATAATCCCCGAAACTCTTCTCCTCATCCCTCGCCCTCCCTCCTCCGACACCAACGCCGACACTGCCGGCATCAACCACCACACTCCTCGGCGCCGCCATTGATGATGATGCTGCAGATAACGACCTGAACAACAATCCCCCGGCGCTATCTGAAATGGACGAGCTGCGGATTAATGACGATTTGGGTTTCATTTATTGATTGAAAAACTTGGGGATATTGACTTGATTTCATCAGATAACGATTCCATTGATGGATCAACAGGTTGCTGATCCAGAAACCGAAACAAAAAGAAGAAGAAGAAGAAAAAAATACCAGTATTTTTTTTCAGTATAATTCTGATGGAATTTATGGTCGAAAAACTGAAATCAGGCCAAACCAACAAAAAAATTTGATCAAGAAATCGAAGAATCAAAGAAGAAAAATGGATTCCGGCAAGGAGGGCTATCGGTTGAACCCTACTTTTCTTTGTCAAGTCTTTTCCTTTCTACTTTTTCTTCTTATCTTATTAAACAAAATGAGTGAGTTTAAGAAGTGAGGAGAGAAGTCAATGGTGGGGCGTGAAGGGAATCACAAGAAGGAAGAGAGAGTAAAGGGTGAGGAGTTGTTGGATTGATGTTTGAAAATCGGACGCGTTTTCCAAGGGAGAGAAACGAGTGATCTGAATGAGTTTTGTGTGTAAGAATTGAATGCTGGAATGAGATTTGCGCCGTCAGCTGTGGTGGACTACAACTTGTAATTGTGCATTACTATTAGTATTAATTGGAGGGGAAGAAGAGAGATTAAAGCGTAATATTCTTGAGTGGGATTTCGAAGATACCTTTAGTGGCAGAGCCGGAGAGGAAGACGTGGCATCAACCATTCATGATTGCTATTGATTCCAACACCGTCCCAGCTACATAATAAGAAAAATGTGTTAATCTAAACTAGGGGAAGTAAAGTGTGTTTTTCTCTAGCGGTGTGAATCGAAATTGAAATTGATAATTCAAAATTTTGAAATTAGAATTTTTTGAAATTTTGGTATCAGAATTTTCGATCGATTTCAATTTTGAATTCACCAATTCCGAATTCAAATTCGAAATTCGGTAAATTTCGATTTCACCGAATTCATGAATATAAAAATTATTATTATTATATAAATATTATATTACATATATATAAAAAAATATTATATATATGTGTGTGAAAATGAAATTAAAATCGAAAAATGAATTCCGATTTCACACAATTCATGAATATAAAAATTATTATTATAATATAAATGTTATATATATATATATATATATATATATATATATATATATATATATATATATATATATAACAGATTTAAAATCGAAATAGGAATTTCGAATTCAATTTCGATTTCGATTTCAAATAGTGAATTCGAAATCGGAATTTCTGATTTGAAAAATCTCATTACCGAATTTGACCAATTTGAAATCGAATATTCCGATTTCCATTTCGAATTACCGAATTCGAAGTTCCAAATTCAATTTAAATTCGATCGGTAAATCGAAATTTTTAATTTTGTACACCCCTATTTTTCTCTATATATATACTAAGGAGAATGTGCAGCTCACGTCCTCTCTACATTTTTAAGTCTCAGTTCTCTTCTAAAAAAAAAAAGAAAAAATTTAAAGTAAAAACCACTTCATATAGGTACCAACCACGATTATTGAGTCAAGTGGCAGGAGCTTGATACTCCTTAAATAAGGCACAGTTTGGAATTTTAGAGATCGAAAATATAACATTGAATGATCTCTCGAAATGAACTATTTCTCAAAAAGAAACTAATAACGAGTTTATTGATATTTTTGATATAGTAGATACTATTACACATGCAATCATACTCAATTCAATTAAATTGTTTGATGTTAAAGGAGATCTTTTATAATTTCACACGCGAGAGATTATTTCTTGGTTTTGTTCATCTACATATTTTACAGATCAACTAGGTTTACAAATATTGAAGTGAAATTAGTTTAAGCAGTAGCTTGTTTATAAGTTAAAAGCTATCCTATCAAACAATATACGTCATTTTTTTACAGTCCAATATAACTTTCAAGAGGTAGATTGTTTGTATTAGAAACCCTAAAAAAAAGATTTTTTGTATTAGAAAGTTTTCCTCATATACTATTCCTAACAATTCAATAGTACAGTAGTATGTCTAAAAATTGTTGAAGGCTTTTTGTTAATAAGAATTATTGAAGGTTACACGTGATATATGACTTGTCACACCCGACTATAGGTAGGACGAGTAGTACTGGGTATTAAACACGTGACAATAGGTAATGGTCCCTATAGTATAGGTATACAAGTCACCAAGTCAACGTTACATGTCATTTCACCAATTCTCTCCACCCTGTTGCTTCTCCAAATCAAGGATTTAGCTGCTTCTCCAAATCCAGGATCAGGCCTCACCGCCTCTGCAAACACAGTATTGATTGCAGAGAGCAATCCATAAAAAGAGATGGACTAATTTGAAATTGGATCGCCGGGATTGAATTTGGGGCAAAAATTCTAGAGAAAAAAATCTTGTTCCACTTTTCCGTATTATTATTGAGTCTGTCTAAAGGGTATTTATTTTGATTTTTAGAAAGGCATGATTAATTAAAGAAAATATATAAATATAAGGGGAATAATAATTATCAGTATATATGTATGTATATAGATATATATATATATATAATAAATTAAGTGATTTTAAATGTGCTAATAAGTGTTTAGTGGATATCTATTAAAAATTCCGTTATTATTTTAGTATTTGTATTTGTTATTATAGTGTCTATTTTGGACTCGGGGCACGGACGGTTGCAGGTGCAATCGTCCCTGCCAATTTTGGTCATTATCAACATCATGTAACTTTCTTTGTACATCGTGTAACTTTTTTTTCACATGATGTATTTTTACAACAGATAGTGATGGGTCCCACATTTAGCGCGAAAATCGAGTTACATGGTGTAATTTCAGCCGCACAAAATTTTGAGGGCCAATCTTGGCCCTCAACCGTGCCCTCAGGGCCCCAAATCCGTCAGTTTTTATTGTACTAGCGCCTACATTGCACCGTACGATTGTCCCGGGTAATTATAGAGGTCTCTGATCCCCCAAATCAATATGCCTCTCCAACCAGATTTAGTGATACTTTGAAGTCGGATGTAACTTTGTCCTTGTTTCTCCACCTCAGTCCAAGGTACATATGCTAACGGCTCATAGGCTTCTTATGTGGTTGGGGCAAGGGTAGCAACTGTTTGGAAAGATTGATGGCCATGATTTAACTAAAAAAAGGTAAGATTTAAATCGAATATTGTACAACAAATTTAGCACTATGTATAGAGCCCACAAAATCTATCTTGTATACATGAAGAATGGAGGGTTTAACATTTTGCCTTCTTTTTTGTCATGTCTATTGATGCAACAAGTGATTCATCTCTATATTCAGAACAATGATATCCTTCATTGCTTTGTCGATGTTTGTTAATGGGCTCGATGAACTCAAAAGATTTCAGCCTAATGAATAAATTGTATTCGTCGTATTATAATTGTTTGGCCCTTAACACTGGGCTTTACTGAAAAAAAAAAAGAAAAAAGAATGTGACCTTTATTTAGTTCTTTGATGCCCAATGGGTTAATTTTAACTTAATTAACTTATAATTAATTTACTTATTATCTGGTTGGGTGGATGTGCAGTCTAAACCATGACTCTTAGATCAGGCTTAATGGACTAATAATAGATTTCAACTCTAAGATAAATTTTAATTAAACTCTAATTACAGTTTCGCTATTGCTACCTACAATAACATTTCTTGCACATTGCTATTCTTGCCATTGCACGTCATTTTTTTTTTCCTTTTGCCTTTTATTCATGCCAAGTCAAATAAGTCTAGCCCTTATGTTTATGGGTGTTCATTGCCCAATAATCAGGAATTTGGTTAAAAAAATTTTGGTAATTCACAATTGATTTTTTAAGACTAATATCCGATCACCGTCCAAATCTTAGTTTGATAAATTAGATCAAAGAACCGATAATTTAGTAATATCCGAAATATCGATAGTGAGTTAAAATATTTTAACTTTCTCAACAAAATTGTTATAACAGACTAATATCTTATATGCTTTTCCAATAAAATTCAATTAACTCAAACAAACATGATATGCTAAAAAAATAAAAATAAAAATAAAAAGAAGGTTCATAATTTTAAGTCCTAACTCATAATTTCAACTCTTAAATAACATTGAAATATATAAGAACTTCAAATTTAATTGTTAAGCTAAACTCCAACGTATCAGCTTCCATTAAAATTTTACGCCCAAGTACAGTTATAGTTAAGTTAACTAATTAGTATTTAGTGATAGGATTAAGATTTACTCTTATATTTAGTAATATACATAAGTGGGCATATATTCTACTTTGACTCCTCCTGATTTTATGCGAAAGAATGGTTTACTTAATTATTCTTGAAATTTTAAGTGGGCATGGGCTGTGTTTAGCATAGCCTGAATTCTGCTAGTTTTATTTTATATTTACAAGTTGTTAAAAGTGAATTATATTGTGAACAAAATGAATTACATTCTGTGGAGATAAAACAAAACCGGCCCAAACAGTTTTTTCGTTCGGGACCCTGGTCCCTCATCTTGCATACAGTCTCAATTTTCTTTATCTCTTTCTTTAGCACCCTTACATTCAAATCAAGCAACTGCCTACTCAAATTGCTCACTTGGTTCAGGACTCATAACATGATTAATCATTATGCAAGTTGGTGGAAACTTGGGTGGAAAAGAAAAATGCTGATATCCAATTTGTTGGCCACAATTTGTCTGCTTGGGATTTTTTTGTCAAACACCAAGCTATGTCCACAAGTAGGGACTCGTAGTACAATCCAATTCATTTTGCTTGGGGAGAGCATTGGGGCTAAGTCCCCCTATGTGTCTTTGAAGATCAAGCCAGTTTGAAGTAAAACAGATCGAAAAGCTTTTGTAGAAAATATATATTGTAGTGATATAAATATGTAAAATAAAAATTTGATTGAAAAATATGTTGAGAGGATTTTTAAAGCTGAATTGTGAGAACTCGAGAAAATTTTGTGTAAACTTTGCATTTATTTTATTACATTTATTATTTTTAAATGTCTAAATTGAATTTGATAAAATTGAGGATTTAGAAATATCCTATAATGGTGGAAAAATTCTTATGGGAATATACAAATTGGAACAAATAAAGTTAGGAGTCAATGCATGAAATCATAAAACTACAGCCCTCAGTAAGCAAATAAGCTAAAACTAAAAGACCAAACCAACCTTGAATTTCAGATTAACTACCATGCAACCAAGGAACAAGCTATCAGAATTTTCATAGTTATTAAACCCGGCCCGGAGGGGAACCCGGCGAAAGAGGTGGGTGAACGGGTTACTAGTTCAACCAGTGGGTGAGTGGTTCAACCGGTGGGTCACGAAATATATTTAAATATTATGTTTCATAATTTTTGATATGGTTAAAACTATAATAAATTATGTCATAGTAAATGCTCAATTAGTCTAATTTATTATAGAATCATTAATTCTTATAAGAATTAACAAAACCTAAATGCAATTAGTAATCCATCAAATTTCAAGAATAAAATTTTATCTAAGTATAATTATCTAGTTTATTTATGAATTTTAAATGCAAAGAATTATTAGGAACGATATTTGCCTTTAGAATGAATTATGTGATATGTTA